TGGAAGAGTGGTATCATACCCCGTTCATTAGTATATGGTCTGGATGGGGTTAGTCTGAGAGAAAAGCTAGTCTATCCGCATTGATTTACTGTCATAGCATGAGGCAGGCCTTGACTGCAGCTAGGATTTACATGAAGGGAGACCCATTTGGCCTCCACTAAAGCATGTATGGTATCCAAAAGAAACCTATGGGATTATGAGGGGTATAAATGAGTGCCGAATTTTCATAGTGAAAGGAATTCACTCTACAACAACCACATTAGGAGGCAGTAAAATTTTCTCCAAAGTTGTGCAAGTGGTAAAACTGGTGAAAAATCATGTCTGTGATAGAAACTTGAAGTCAATATGCTCTCTTTTTTTTTTAAAGTAAAAGTCACTGGTGTTATGGAGACATAAGTAAAATGAAGAGTGTAGCATGCAAATCATAGGGTAAAATTAATCATTTTTAAAATCTCAAAAAAGCTGACATTTTGCCTTTTCAATATGTGTATTTTGGTGAGGAGGTCAAATGTTACTATTTTTGCTGGGAAAGGGGGATGAAAATCCCACAAGTGACAACATTCCTTTAAACCAAGTCAGGAAGTATCACAGAAAACTATGGTTTTGTATCCAAACATGAAGCAAAAATGGAAAATGTTCTGTAAGTGCAAAACATCATTACATGTTTAAAGCTGCATTCACCAACTCCAACTTTTTTTGCATATATATATATATATTGTGGTTTGTAACAGGCACAGGATTCCACCTGCACGAAGCTCATTGCAGGGTAAGGGTGTTGGGGCAGATCCTCAGCTAGTACAAATTGGCTTAGCTCCATTGTCCTTAGAGTTTATGACAATTTACACTTGCTGAAGATCTGCCCACCACCCCTTTAAAAAAAAGAAAAGAAAACAAAACACGGTCACATGCAATTTCTTAGATAATGATAGCTCTTATCTAGTGCTTTGGCTCTTTAGATCACAAAGAGCTTTACAAAAGGTCAGTATCTTCATCCCCATTTTCCAGATGAGGAAACTGAAGCACAGGTAGGGAAGTGACTTGTCCAAGGTCACCCAGCAGGCCAGTGACAAAGCTGGGACTTGAATCCACATTTCCCAAGTCCCAGTGCCTTGTCCACTAAGCTACATTGGCTCATAATATATTATATCATATATACAAGTTTCCCCTCCCACAAAACCCTTAGAGACACATTAGCCCTTGGAGAAATGGGTACTACAATGCACATACTATTTCTCAAAATATACAGTATGTCAGAAATAGAATGTGATCTTTAGTGTAATAAAATACTATGGGCCTGATACTACAAATACTTTGGTATGTGAGTAATTTCACTCATGCAAGTAGTCCTTTTGACTACAATGAGTGAAGGTGCATAAGGGAAACAATTACTTCAATGGGCCTGCATGTGGAAGTGTTACAGGATCAAACCTTTAGTCATAAGAGCGTGAAACTATAACTTCACTGTTTCCTGACTTTTGAATGCTTCACCATACATCTTTAACAGGCTCTTAATGTACTTAATGTACTTTTTAAATGGTTTCCCTAGTTTATTAAAAAAAAATAAAAATCAATAATATGCAGCTATTTGCTTAACAGCAGTAGAGTGCACTGTACTGCAAAATATATGCAGTCAATAGGACAGGAGCCCTGTGTTCTTTCCTTCTCCCCTTCCCTTCCCTCTACACATTCATTCACCAAGGCTTTGTCTACAATATGGAGACTATACTGGCATATCTATGCCAGCAGAGCCATGGAGCATGGACACAGCCTACACCCAACAGAGGAGCTTTTCTGTTGGTGTAGGACCACCACCTCCTTGAATCACATTAGTTACATCAATGCAAGATGGATCTACACTGGGGTTTTTGTTGACATAGCTATGTCAGTCAGGGGTATGTTTTTTTCATACCTCTGACAGATGTAGCTATCCCAATATAACTTTTCAGTGTAGGTCAAGCCTAAGTGTATGGAGAGAGGTAGAGCCCCACCTCCTCCCCTACGTGCCTTTGTTTTCTTTATACACCTTCTCTCAATGTGAAAGAGTAGGTTGCGTATGAACTTGCCACACCACTTGCAGAGCCAACAGAACCTTGACAAGCAAGCAGTTACTGAATCACATTAAACAAATCAAACCACATGTACAAAGTGTTTTTCTAAACCCTTATAAAACTGACAAGCCAAAAATCAGTTTTCACCCACATGACCTAGAGAATAAATCCCTGTTGAGTTGCCAGTTTTCTAACCTCTACCACTGATCACTAGAGTTCTTCAAACCAAAACATTTTTGTAATTCCCCAGCTTCAGCCTTGAAAATGGCTGAACTGCTCCTCCCCCCTCCCCAAACTTTTCAAAAATATTTTCTCCTGGACTGAAAACAAACATGCCAAGTTTCAGTCTGAAAGACAAAAATTTTATAAGCAACAGAAAACATTTGCAATGACATCTGTATCCACATAAGACCTCTAATGAAACAGCAAGTATCTTTGGCCAGACTGATGGCTTGGGATGCTTGCACTACATTACACAACCATGTGAGAAATCCAAGTTCCACACTAACCAACCTCAGGGCCCTTAATGGAGCCTGGAAATATGACAAAGATGATGACAGGAACATGGAGAGCATACACAGACTACACTGACCTTCTCCCCTCATAGCACTTCCTAGAGGTCAGCTATTCAGTGATAGGGTCTGTAGGAGAATGCCTACATTTAGGGCTGAAAAGTTGATGCTGCTGTCAAGTGCTGGTGCTATCTGAGATGATGGGATAAGATAAACAAGAACTGAGGCTTTGAATGAAGAAGATACCAACTAGGAATGAACCTCCCTATCTCTCCTCAACACAGTCTTAGTTGTTGTGCTGGGTGTGTGTGTGTGTGTGTGTGTATGTGTATGTGTGTGTCATAAAATAGCAGGGAGATAGTCTCCATAATGTATTAAGTCTTTTCCATTTTTAATTTCTAGGATTCTATGAGTGATTTAGGTGTGCTTATGGTCAGAAAAGTGATTATGTAAACAAAAGACACCTTAACAGATCTGTTCCCTGTATGCATTCACAGTCATATCTATTTGCCTTGCTGACAAAGACAAATCATAGCAGTATCACAAAACTATGGGAGAGTATGTTGGATTCTGTTTCATACATTACCTATCACATGGTTAATAAAAAATCCACAGCTGGAACTTAATCAACAGTCATGAGGTGTAAGCCAGATAAGGATTAGGAGGGGGAACAAAAAATGGAAAAAAATAAAATAAACCAAAAGCAAAAACAGAGCTTGACTTTCAAATCCCAAGCTGTGTCTGCAGGTCTCGGAGTTAAAAAAACCCAAAACCCTCTGTTTTTTCAATGAGCAAATTGGCTATGGAATCAGGGACAATAGACATAAAATGCCACAATTTCATGTTCACAGAATCACTTTTTCAGAGATTTATTTATCCTGCAATTTCTAACACCACTTCTATAAACAGTCCAGCTGATAAGAGACATTACAGAACTAAAGTGTTTATCAATTTTAATTTTACAGTCTATGTGTGAGACGTAATTAAATAGCCCATACTCCAATTCTCTGGGTTTAAAGGCTATTCAAAAATGAAATATTTAACACTGGCCTTTAACCCAATGTCAATACCTGTGTGAATAAGATATACAAGTAAAGTATTTATTGACTGAAGATGATTATAGGGGACTCACAGCATATAGGTTTTGTCTTTGTTGATTTTTATGTTCATGGTTTTAGATTGAGAGACAGCTGCTAATGTGTTATTTGGGTCCCTATTCTGCAAGGGTGAAGTTCACCCCCATGTGTAGAGGGCCAGAGCAAAGTCTTAAGCTTCCAAAACAGGACTACAGTGGGATTTAAGTGATGCATAAGCCTAGTACTCACCTGGGAGCACAGGACATTCACTTAAAGTATGAATTTTCCAAACCTTTGCACCACAGATGTGCTTTACAAAATGCACAAGGCACCAGCTATGTTGGCCAAAGAACACACAGTAGTTTAGGAATAGGAGGCTGTGTTGCACAAATTGTCTGCTGCATGGGGCTTTGAAAATTTGGATCAGAATGACCATTGAGGGACAGCTATTTTAGAGTCTGAAAGTCCTGCTGGTTCAACTGCTTCTCAAATTGCCAACCAAACTATGGCTTTTACTGCTCCTCTTCCTCCAATACTTCCGCTGCAGGTTTGAAGTGGCTTCCAGAATGTCTGCTGCTGATCTGGTGGTAGTCGTGGAACTCTTTAAGGACAACTGTAGGAGCGTCTGCAACCCAAAGGAGGAAACCCAGTTTTCCAATATAAGTGAAAGTGACAGTTGGCCTGTCTATCACCAGGCACTATAATGCAAGTCTTGCAAACAACATGCATATATGAATAAAGTTCCTATTAAGCTGCCTTAAAAAGTTTCATCTGCCCAGAGACCATTTTAGTAGCAATCCTGACTAGGCCCACCCTTCCAGTTGCCAGAAATGATTGCTTGTCCATGCACAGCCTCCCTAGGAGCATTGCCAGAGATCTTGGGAAGTGATCAACTCCCCACCCCAGGTTTTAAATACATAGGATTAGCCAGCCATAAGAGACAAACATTTATTTCTATCATTCCCTGATTATAGAATCCATTAACTCTTGCCTGTGTAAATGAAAATTGAAGAACTGAAGTCCTCCATTAGCTACTTAAGAGGAAAAAGGGGGAAACCTGCTCTTCTCTCATTCAGTTACTTGTGTACCACACTTGATATTTGTTCTCAGTCTTGCTGACAGAATGGGTACAAGAAAACTGACCTACCAACAAGGATGACTGTGGTCTTCAAAGGCCTATGAAAAGGTACTTAAAAAAGTAGAGGGGAATTTACTAATATCACATATAAACACACCTCAAAAGAAGGTGTGTTTTCTAATTTGTCTTATAAGCCAGGATAAAACAAGTGAAGTCGAAACCACAACATTTACGTCAAGTAAATTCTGCTATGCATGTGACTTTATTAATGAAATATAGAGAAACAAATTACAAATTCTAATTACTAGCATGTTCTTAACAGGTATTAATTAAGCAGTACTCAGAGAGTCCCTTCTCCCCCCCACCCCCACAATGTCAAAGTTCCATGAAGATTCACAGCAAGCAATTAGTCCACTCATAAATTGGGCATCCTGAAGTTCAACCAATCTTCTTAATTAGATTTCCCCTATAATATCCTCTGGACTAGCCAAGAGAATTATGGGATCATGCTTCAAACTGATGTTAACCTCTTGCGACTCCACATGTGAAAAATAGGCACTCTGCAGCCACTGTTCATGTTTTAACCTGTGCAAGCAAACACATTTAAATTAATATCAGCTACATTTTAATCAGCACTCTTCATTCACCATTCTGTGGTGGTTGACAAAACTGCTCCTAAAATATCCAAGATCATGGACAGAAGTATGGAGTAATCCCATCCCTAACAGATTAGATCACTGGACTAAAACTTATTATATTACTGGTGAAGAGCAAGAAGTAGCAGTGTTATGTACAAGCAGAGGAGTCACAACAATAAAACAAAAGTCTTCAGGTTTTTGTTTTTCTTTGGAACAGATGACATTTCACCATGATGCACAAAGCATGGACCTTTGCCTACTCAGCTGGCTGTGAATAGGAGGACCAGGGGAGAAAGGATTTTTGAAGAAATAGAAGAGCAGTTTTTGCAACCAATATGCTGCCCATGCCATATGTTCTAGTTCTCTTTCCTGTGTTATGAGCTTTGATTCAGATCAACACATATCTCACAGGAGATGGGAAGAGATTGAAGAACCAGCATTCTTGCACTCTCATCAACATAGCACAGCAGAACTTTTAGAGGATGTGAAGATTACAGAGAAAACTCAGATATTTATTCCTTCAAGAGAGATCATCAGTCCAAATGAAGGAGCAAGAATACCACAATAATAATGAAAATTCTGGCAGTAAATACACAATGATCTGACCAATATAAAGGTTAGATCTTAGGTAGAGTGTTGAAGGCTAGTTAGTAGCATGTTGACTGTCCTACAGACACTCAACCACTTTCACAGGAAACAGGAACAGTCATTTGCTTCTTGCTAGCCCGATTCATGGAGATGTTTTTCTATTGAATAATCCTAAACGGAAATAATCCTAAATTCCTTAACCTCTCACTTTAGTTTCTCAGGGCATTTTAAGACAAAAAGATGGCCAAAATATCTACCTTTCACAGAGTTGTAATGTGCTTCATTAGAAGAACTGTTCAGGAATTTTCCATTGTTTTTGGTTTTGACAGAAAATGTGGTTTGAGGAAAAAATAAAGATTTTCCACACTTAAATTTTTATTTTGGAAAATTTAATAAAAACTTTTTGGCACCAGGAAATAAAATCAAAACAAAATATTTAATTTCAGGTCAAGTTGATCCAAATCAAATAATTTTGGTTTGTTGAACTGAGCCAAAATGTTTTGTTTTGTTTTGCATCATTTCATCAATAATCAGTGTCCACTTTGGCTTCCACTGTGCTTCATATTTTTATTTTCCCCTATGGGCTTGATTCCACAGCCAAGTGACATCTCTCATAATGCATCATGGTCTCGCCTGAGACTGAACCCCAATGTTGCATTAAGAGAGTCCCACAGCCCTCCAAAATATTTCATTTTGATAAATTTCAAAAAAGATTTTAATGTCATTTTTTAAAGAACATGTTCCATTAAAGTTTTGATATTTTGACTTTTCATTCTAATTTGGGCTGAAAACAAACATCAAAATACCAAAGTTTCCCACTGGATGGAAATTCCAAGTTTCTCTCAGCTCTCCTTGTTAGATACATCATCTTGAAATCATAATATTCATTAGCATGAATTCTGCCTTCTAATTAGTGTAGTCAACCTTCAGCAGCCTATTCTCCCCCGCCTCAACCAGCTTCTAGGCCCACTCTCTTATTATGAGAATATTCCATTTGTTTTATGCAGCATTCAAAATACTGTAAAATACCTGCCAAATTCTCCTTGATGTGAGCCGTCAAGTAGCTCCTGTGCCTTGGAAACCTCTGTACCTTAACTTGAAGATCCAAGTGTCATTTCAGTTACTGATCTGTTTTAATGGTTATAATTATGTCACTTTTGCTTTTTTGAGGATTGTAAAAAGAGGGTCAATGGAGCAAATTTACTGCTGTAGCCACTATCAACTTTGGCTTAATTCTGCCTTCAGAAACACAACACACACACATTGCATTGACTTCACTGGGGATAGTGCACATATCCAAAAGTATTGTCTGACTCCCAACTGCAGCAGTGAATGCTATACAGCCAGTGAAAATGCATTGGATCACCATAATGTGGCATGAAGTCTTTTGTGAGAGCTTTCAACCTTTTTTAACAGAACTTTTGGGATGAATTTGCTAAGCATTTCTTAAAGCCCACATTCCGAACCCTGTAACTTGAACACGTTCATACTCCTAGCAGCAGTTACTGTGAACACATTATTTTTCAGGATAGCACTAAACTGATCTTGTGTGTCAGCCAGATATGATTAGGAAAGATTTCAACATATGCAGGTAATAGTCATCACTTATGGATCTAATATTTTGATAAAATACTAACCTTTCTGGGATAAGACATAGGCTTTTAAGTAGGAAATTATTTTTATCCATTTTAGTGTCACAGTAAGTACTAATGCCACCATTGTCTCCTGGGAATCTGGTGACATCATTGATGACTCTGGAGAATTCTATCACTCCTCTCTCCCGCCTTCATTTCACATTTTCATTCTGGTGAAATCTTGGTAACTAAATGTATAGGCATAGGACTTAAAGAAGCTGAATAAGGTACCAGGATGGTAAACGAGACCTCACATGTGGGCATCCTCTGATATGCTTAAAAAACCCTTGTGCTTCTGCTAAGTTAACTTGGGACTTTTTGCAGGACACACCACTGAATTATTTTCCAGCTGTTGAGTAAAGAGATCATATATAGATAGTGCCTTCTTTCTCTTCAAATGGGAGTGGAGGATGTACTATTCACGTAACATGCCCAGTTCATGAATGCAAGAATTTCCTTGGGAGACACTTGTAGAATGAGCAATATAAAATGTATATAACAAAGTGTCAAGCCTGTGGCCATTTCACTCACAAAATCCTATGCCTGCTTGGCACCAGTTAGTAGTGCATCCTTTTGCAGCAATAGTGTTGATACCTTGCTTCAGCTATACCAGCATGTAATAGAAGCTTTGTTGAATTTTTAAAACACTCTTTATTAAAAAGTGCCTTTGAGCAATTCAGTCTAAGAGGATGTTATACACAACATAAGAATAGCCATGCTGGGTGAGACCAATAGGTGTTCTAGTCCAGTATCCTGTCTTCCAACAGAGGCCAGTGCCAGATGCTTCAGAGGCCTGGTCCACACTAACCCCCACTTCGATCTAAGATACGCAACTTTAGCTACATGAATAACGTAGCTGAAGTCGAAGTACCTTAGTTCGAACTTACCACGGGTCCAGACGCGGCAGGCAGGCTCCCCCATCGATGCCACGTACTCCTCTCGCCGAGCAGGAGTACCGGCGTCGACGGCGAGCACTTCCGGGATCGATCTGGGATTGATTTGTCACGTCTAGACAAGATGTGATAAATCGATCCCAGAAGATCGATTGCTTACCGCCGGACCCGGAGGTAAGTATAGACCTACCCAGAGGGAGCAATTTATCAAGTGATCCATTCCCTATCATCCAGTCCCAGCTTCTAACAGTCAGAGATTTAAGGACATCCAGAACATGGGGTTGTGTGTGTCCCTGACCATCCTGGCTAATAGCTGTTGAAGGACCTACCCTCCATGAACTTATCTAATTCTTTTTTAAACCCATTTATACTTTTGGCCTTCACAACATCCCCTGGAAATGAGTTCCACAGGCTACATGTGCACTGTATGAAGAAATATTTGGGTTTTTTTTTGTTTTTTGTTGTTTTAAACCTGCTGCCTATTAATTTCATTGGGTGACCCCAAGTTCTTGTGTTATGTGAAGGGATAAATAACACTTCCTTATTCACTTTCTCCACACAATTCATGATTTTATAGACCTCTATCATATCCTTCCTCAGTCATCTCCTTTCTAAGATGAAATGTCCCAGTCTTTCTAAGCTCTCCTCATATGGAAGCTGTTACATACCTGTAATAATTTTTGTTGCCCTTCTCGGTCCCTTTCCCAATTCTAATATCTCTTTTTTGAGATGGAATTACCAGAACTGCATGCAGAATTCAAGGTGTGGGCATACCAATGGATTTGTATAGTGGCATTAGGTTTTTTTCTGTCATATTATCTACCCATTTCCTAATGGATCATAACTCTTAACTTTTTTGACTGCTGCTGCATATTGAGCAATGTTTTCAGAGAACTATCCACAATGACTCTGGGATATTTCTTGAGTGCTAACAGTTAATTTAGACCCCATCATGTTGTATGAATAGTTGAGATTATGTATTCCAGTGTGCATTACTTTGCATTTATCAACACTGAATTTCATCTGGCATTTTGTTCCCCAGTCACCCAGTTTTGTAACACTTCAGTCTTCTTTGGACTTAACTATCTTGGGTAATTTTATATCATCTGCAAACTTTGACAACTCACTGTTTACCCCTTTTTCCAGATCATTTATGAATATATCACCTTGTCTCTGTAAATGTGAGGTAATAACTTTACTGGATCAAGTGAGACAAGCTTTTGAGCCACACAGACCTGAAGAAAAGCTCTGTGTAGCTCGAAAGCTTGTTTATCTCACCAACAGAAGTAAGTCAAATAAAAGATATCACCTCACCCACTTTGTCTCTCTAATATCCTGGAACTGATAAGGCTAGAGTGATACTACATAAAAGTTACATTTATGTAAGTTACACTTATGTTCTACTGTATAGTTAGTTATAAGATTTTATAAATTGTATATGGATCTATGGTATCTTCTGATAGATATCTAAATGCAGATGATAGTCATGTTATGAGTCATTTACTCACTTTTGGGTAATGTAAGACAACAGGGTCTTGTGCATCAGTGAAGCTCAGTACAGCCACTACAGTATATTACAAGACACAGTATACTCAGAGTAAATCTGAAGTTACCTCACTGACAGATGGTTAGCCATTGGCCTTTGACCTTTCATACAATATGCATCCTGACCTTGTCCCACTTCAGTTGTAGGGACAGTCATTTTTTCTGAAAAATATCCTTGTTCCTGTTTTGATTTTGTCTCAGTTTCAGTGGGAATTTCTGGTTTTTCATTTTTCTCTGAAACAAAACATATGTCAGTGAGAGTGGTAACAAAGTTCTCTTTAATTCTACTAATGTGCATTGGAGGAGGGGCATTCACCTGTAACTCTTATGAAAGCTGAACAGTATGCTTCCCCAACTTCATTGCTTGCAACACAAATATATTTCCCAGTATCAGCAAGGACTACATTTCTTTTTAAAAGGTAATAGGAGTCACCTAATTTCTCAATCTGTAAAACAATAAGATATGTGCAGACAACAATTAGTAGCACACAGCAAGATATACTAGGTCCCTCCCCAAGGAACACTTTAAAAAACTTAAGACATACACTGATGTTTCCAGCTACCAGTCTGATATCATCTTTAGTCCAAACAACATTTGGTCTGGGTATTCCATGTATAGTGCAATGCAGGATTAAATCTTCTCCTTCTTGTAGAGTTGTGTGTCCAAATTTCTGTATGAAGTTTGGTTGTTTTCCTTGTACTGAAAAAAAGCGTATACCGTACTTGAAATGGCACAACTAAAGCAAAAAAAAACCCTTCTGCTTTCATAATTTTTTTATTATTGCACGGAGAAAAGAATCCATGATTATGGTTGAATCTCAAGAGTACTAGTTTACACAGCAGTAAAGGACATACATCTTTGAAATTATATTCCTTTTATTTAGCTTTTTGCCTGTGTGATATGGAGTGGGAATAGTGAAACTCTCCTTGGCACATAGGGTGGTGAGCATCAAGACCTCCATGCCTCAGGAGAGTGATATTAATTTCAAGGTAGCATTAGATAATCAAATTCTTTTTATGAGTAATAGATAAATATATGGTGGATTACCTTATTGCAGTGAATAGTAAAACACATTTCCTACAGAAGTTTAAGGAACAATGTCAAGACTGGCAAACTTTTGGGCTAGGCTTACTGTTGCACATCATGCTTTTCTTGGCTTTGCTAGTCTGTGCCATCCTTCCAGGTTAGCAGCTTAGTAAAGCACACAAGAATCCTATTCTACAAAAGGGTCAAATTCACATTAATACTGAAGGACAGAACAGGATTTATGCACTCTTAAATTACCACTTAAGCCCCACATGAAAAACTAAGATAGATTGCTACAAAGTAAAGGATTTTTAGAGCAGTCCAGACACTTAAATCACATCTTTCTTCCCCTCCACATCAGAAATATATACTCTCTTTTTCTCCTCCATTATTTCATAATATACCATAGCATACAGATTTATTAAGAACAATACAAGGCAAACCCCACTGTATGCATGCTAGCTACCTTATTGTGAGAGTAAATCCTTTAGGCACAGACAAGACTCTCATAAATTTGAATGAGTGAAATATTTTGGATAAGGTCACTAAACACTAACAGTTCTATTATAACGAACTCTAGGGCGTGATTCTGCTGTCACTTATACTGGGGTAATTCTGTTCAGCAGAATCATTCCTGCAATACACAAAAGTGAGAGCAAAATCAGTATATCCCACAAGAGTGTGCAACACCACTAACAGCAAATTACCATTAGTCCCCCATACAAAAGTCTCTGGCATAGGGGCGTGTCAGGGGCCAGCAGGGAGTGAGAGCAAGTGTGACTCAGGACTATCCTAAGTCCTTGCTATCTCCCGGCTACCACAAAGTCTATAATTAAACAGTGCAAGAGGCCAAAACTATGTTAACAACTCAGACCACCCCCCGCCCCCATCACAAACCGTGGGCCTGTAAGAGGCATATCTTTAGGTGCTCCCTTTGAAGTGAAGCAACTCCACACATCCACCCACCCCCTCCCTTATTGCAGGCCATGGCTTTAAGCTACAAATAAGAGGTATTTGATGTGGCTTGTATAGAAGCAGCAGCAGATCTGGGGAGAGGGAGTTTATATCCTCAGACAGGGCTCTTATGTTAATGACTATGAAGTTAGATCCTATCCAATGTTGCTGTGTAGCTGGAAGCAGAGGTAGTTTTGGAATGAAAAGCTCTTTACAGTCATCTACTGTTATTGGAAACTATTTAGATTCCCAAACTGCCATCCACCAGCAAAGGGCTAGTTAAACTATGGGCCAACACAGGCAACACAATTTATCTGGGATTAAACAAGCACTGGGGAAAAAGTAGGATTGGTCCAGGGAAAAAGTTAAATATACTGAAGGTTTTGATTTCCAAATCAGGTCAGAGGCAATCTCCCTGGAAATGTAAAGAAAAGTTATGCAAACTGGAAATATTTTAACTGAGAAAAAGACATGTTAAGTTTCAAAATGTTCCATGTGGGCAAAACCCCCAGATTTTTTATTTTTTTAAAAACAGAAACTTTTTGCTAATGTTTTTAGTTTCAATAAGAACGTTTTGAATGAAAAATTTCAACCTGCTCCAGTGCCAAATAAATTTAACTTTCCTCATTTATTCTCCATTTGTCTTCTAGGCTTGGTCTACACTACCCCCCCTAATTCGAACTAAGGTACGCAACTTCAGCTACGTGAATAACGTAGCTGAAGTTCGAAGTACCTTATTTCGAATTAGTTGAAACTTACCTTGGTCCACACTCGGCAGGCAGGCTCCCCCGTCGACTCCGCGGTACTCCTC